ACTTGAACAAAAATTTGTTATTGAAACGAGGGATTTTTATCTTACAAATTATCAACCAAGATCATCTCCTGATTACAAGAATATCGTTCAAGCAATAATCACTCGTTATCGTGAAATTTTGAATAATCAAAATTTTTCTGAAGTAATTCCTGCAGCATTAATGTGTTAATGTGAAATGCTTCATTTATTCCTGTCGTTAACGCGTTTTTTTTTTCTCTATGCAGCGAGAATTTTGCAAACGTTTATCAACTTCTATTCATAATCAACGTGCCGCAATTAGGCGTAGAGCCGCAGGAAAAAGAAGGATAAGAAAAAAAAATACTATACATGCAACAAGTTTAATAACTGAAATTAACTCAAATGGAAACAACGATCACGTACGGCTACCTATTAGACAAAACAAGTTCTACAAGTCATAATGTGTTTCTTTTCTCTGCAGATAAATGAAAATATTGAAGAGCAAACAATCGTGTTAAATAATGCAGATGCAATTAATTTAATTTTACGAGAACTTGATGATAATGTAAGTCTTTGTTTAGCTCGTTCTGACATGTATCTCTGGTCCTTTTCCTTTTTCAGAGGCAACGGGAAAAACAAAATGATCCGTTACAAAATAGTGACTCTGTGATCTTGTTCTCCACTGATTCTGGATCTAGTGTAATTTGGGCTGACCTTGCTTTTCAATTTTTTATCACATTTCTTTCTTTAAGGAAAATCCAGATAGTAATAACATTAGTAATAATGTTACGACGTTCGATACCAGTACAACGGAAGTTAAAGAATTTATACAACGTTGTGGCAATGATTCGAGTTTTGAAATTGTATCAGAGCAAAATTCAAAAGTAACATTAGACTTGTTTTCTTACCGATTTTTCCTGACTGGTGTTTTTCAATTCGGTTTAGGTTGATGAGAGTTCATTAGTACCACCTCCATTAATCTCCACTACCCGTTGCTTATTGGCCGAACAAAATACTCCATATTCATCATTTAAATTTGCATCATCTATGTCGTCATCTTCACTTTCATCAACAACAGCAGTACAACAACAAACAACCGGACCAAGGTTTTATTCATCAATAGTATCCAACTGTCAACGTTAGGCAAATGAAGCAAAGAACGACTTATTTCGTGATGATAACGATTGCTCCACTATAACACAGGTATTAGCCCCAACTCAAATTACAGCATCGAAAACTTCAACAGCACCTCAAGGTCGAATTATTGTCCGTTCTCTTGTACCAAATACAATTAAGCGAATTAAATTAGACCAGCAACGTCCAAATGGTAATAACCGTATGTCCAGTTTTAAATAAATATACTTTTCTTCTTTGATTCAAATAACATACGAATTTTTTCAGGAACAGTCACTGCACCTTCCACTCAGCAAATTACTGAACATCGATTATTAACAACAACCGATAATAGCGAAAAAGTTCATTTTGTGTTTACAGACAAGTTATCTGATAGTATAATCGCCTCTTCGACACAACCATCAACATTAAGTATTACAAATGTTGAGTATGATCGTTTAACAAATGATTTACGTAAATTAAGTCAAAAACTTAACAAGCAAAAAAACAGAGCTATTTCCGATGCGCATTTAACTGTTTTAAAACATGCACAACAAATGACATTTTGTACACGGCGTGATTTAATAAAAGGGAATGATACATTATCGTTATCGCAAAAATTACTGATTTATCCCGAACTTCTTGCCGAAGAAATGGTATGTAAAAGTAAAACCGATAAAAAGTCATGGGATAATGGAAAGATAGAAAATTTCCATACTTTTGTAAGGTTTACCATTCTGTTTTTTAGATACTTCTTGAATTTTCAATGTTAACAAGTCGGTTAAGAGAGGATCATCAACAGAAATTTCGTAATATGTTGAACAAGTTAATTTCTAAATATGAAATACCTTCTACAAGATACTCAGTGAGTAATACAAAGTAGATTTTGTTGAAAAAATATTGTTTTAATATATCTTCTGATGTGTAAACTATCATTCTAGCAAAGTGAGATTGATTTACTTGCAATAACTGCAGTATGTCGAGAAATGAAAACACCATGTTTCATTACCAAAGTAGGTTGTAATAATTATTACTAGTATT